AGCCTCGTAAAATCTTTTCCGACGCGGGAAGACGCTGGCGCCATCTATCGGGAAGCCGTGTAAAACTTGCGGTTCCCGCATTTTGGCGTGAAACGTTCTTTGGCTAGTGGCTCCGGATTTTGTGAAGCCATGGCCCTTGACGTCCGATGTACCATAATGCAACGCGCGCAGTGTTGCATTATGGAACGTTACAGACCTACACACCGATTGCTTCTACACTAAATTTAGCGGCGAAGTTGAATTGGTGTTCAGGTCACGTGACATCAGGTCACGTGACATGAGGTCACGTGACATGAGGTCACGTGACGTCAATTTCCCAGCTAAATTTAGCGGGAAAATGAACGTCCCGTGACTTCCGCGCCAATTCATTGTCCCCGCTAAATTTAGCGGGGAATTTGACGTCACGTGACCCGATGTCACTTACCTATATGGCAATTCGGTTTTTCCCCTGAATTTAGAGGGAAAATTAACGTCACGTGATCCTGCACATCAGTTCAGTTTCCCCGCTAAGTTTAGCGTTAAAATTGACGTCACGTGATACTAGAGTGTTTCACGTCTGCAACACAACTGTCCAGCAACGTGCCATACAATATTCCCCCCCCCCTTTTTTTTTTCTTCTTTTCGAGCTTCATTTAAAGTGTTTTCTATCAATACCGCCTAAAAGACATAGCGTGCGCCTTTTCCCCCAATACGTCATCACTAGTGGATCCATGCCGCGCCACATATGCGGAGCGCAAGTTCGTCTGCTTCTTTTGCGGCAGTTGACGTGACGTCAGAACCGGGCGTTCTGACGTCACCACAACCCCCGCAAAAGAAGCAGACGAACTTGCGCTCCGCACAGCTTCCCTCACCAGCGCCGCCCGCGTGTCTTGCATGCGTCTCCCGACGACGCTAGCACGTGGCAACGCCAGGACGGACGCGTCTGCCGCTTTTGCGGCGTCTCTCGTCAAGCTTCAGGGTGTTCGCCGCTTGGGGCGCGTCGGGGATCCACAAACCATGACGTCATGCCCGGGCCTTGTCTTTTAAGGTCGGTGTTGCTCCTATTCACTGCCCTGTGGCTTTATAACGTGGGAAAATGGCTGACAGGGAGAACACGCGTGGACGCAGGTGGCCACACCATTATGTTGTTTACGATGTCTGGGTGGTATGGGACGTTCTCTTCGATGGCCACCAGAAGATTCTCGTACCCTCCGTCCGTTGAATTCACCGTGGCTTTGGCCATTGCGCCGCAGACCGCCGAGAGGACCAGCGCGGCCAACCGCAGCGCCTTGAACGGCATCCTGTAAATAAGTCTGGAAACGTCAGAGACCGCTCTATTCAGTGAGGGCTAAGATTTCAGAGGAAGCCTCTCGCCCCCTCTTTCCACTTTAGTAGAGCGAACCCTGGAGAGGAGGCTGCCTGCTCAATAGCCTTCGCTCTGCTAAGTGGAAAGAGGTGGGAGGAGCTTCCCCTGAACTCTCAACCTGTCACCGTTTATCCACAAAATACCTTGTCGGCTGTAAAGGGCTGAGACTGGACGGAGTGCTTGTGTAGCTGCTCTCAACGGGGCTGGATTTGGAACAGAGCGTGCGGGGCGAGCGAGCGCGCGACTGTCGGTGGCCTCGAAAGCTATGGCGATGTGGATAACGGTTAATAAAACGAGAGTGATGATACTTTGCACGTTTGCTATGGTTTCTGAAACCATATTGGAGATTTATGTAACAACTGCAGGGGAGGCCTCCAGGAGGTATAACACTGAAAAAAAGTGGTGTGTGTAATAATTGGAAGGGGGGGGGGGGGGGTTGTGGGGATATTTATACAGCGCGTAGTTGGTCAGCCATTTAAAGTTGTGGTGTGTGTATGTTTATACAGCCGGACGTTACCCTGCCTTGCCTCAGTGGGTCGGTCAGAAAACGTTTAATGCCGTAGAAAAAGAAAAGTAAAAGAAAAAAAAAGAAAGAATAGAGGGAAGGAGGTATGAGGGAGTGCGCCGGTGATATCAAGATCAGGACGCTGGCGCCTTAGTGGGCGACTTGTCTCTCAGCTGTATTTTGTATTCTGGAGGGGGCCGATGTTAGCAGGGAGGTGGTAATTTGAGAGAGCCTGTCAATTGTCGGGGACGGAAGCCAAGATGGCGGGCCTTGAACGCCGGTGGTGGCGATGGTATGCTTGTCGCTGTCAGGATAAAGCAGCTGCTGCTGCTGTACCCGGGGACACGGTCGGGGTTGAGGCGTATCAAAGACAAGACCCAGTAACGGCGGGGCCGCGTCCTCGCGGGCTCCGCCGAGGGCAAGGAAGGACACCGGTGACTGTCGACTTTAATCGAAATCTCAGGGTCCACATTCCCAAAGCGATATACCAGCACGAAGTGAGCATGCGACACTGCGAGTGGGGCAGGCGCTTCTCTCGCTCAGAGCTCGTGGACTGGGGTCTTTAACGAGCACCAGGCACAGTAGTGATACACGGCCGCACGCCGGTACGATGCTCATCCAGATCGATGAGCATCGTACCGGCGTGCCGTTGTGTATTCCTTCTGCGCGGCGCACGTTAAAGACCTCGGCATAACGGTTGTACCGCACTGACTAAATTACCCCCGGAACTTTTAGAGAGTTTCAGGGAACCGTTTCTGGACTTCCGATAAGGTACGATGGGCCCCCTCCGGCATGAATTGCGCATAAGCCAGTCTTCTGTGTTAGCGCATGCGCAGTTCGTACCGGAGGGCTCATCGTACCAAATCGGATGCGCCGAAGACGGTTCCCTAAAACTCTCTTTTGCCGTAATCACGATGAGGTCGAGCGAAGACACCGGTGGGATGCGAGTGGTGCGTCAGCGTTCAATGAACGCGTTGAAGCACGCTGGGCATTGTTACCTCTCTGCTTTGCCTAGCACGCCGCCAGGTGTGCACTAGTGCCACTAAATAAGCTCATTTAGTGGCTCTAGTGTGCACTCGTTACTGCGCAAATAAATCACTTTTTAGTTTATCGGTCTCGGGTCCAGTTGCATAGTTGGTTACATCCAACCGTGATGGCGTTCCATGGAGGAAGAGGGACGTTCGTGGGCCTCGGTTATTCAGCAAAGCAACCATAATGGCCGGGGATGTCACGTTAGTGCACAAGCCTTGAAATGCATGTGTCGCGCTGTTGGCCATTCCGCCGTAGTGCGGTATTTTTGGAACTATAAGAGGCAGAACGTTTGATATTTTTCGCGCGCTCTGCTGCGGCCTGTCCAAACGCTCGGCTGCCCTGTACAAAAAGCAAGTCGAGTCAGTTCTCTGGATCTCCGCATGCAGCGCTTAGAACCAAGCCAGAAACGGACACACAATCGCTTCAAAGCACGCTTGTAGACATTTTTCTAAGAAAGCAAGCGACCACTTGGAAGAAGAAGAAAGACGTCGATATCTCCTGTGACCGGGGCACGGTGTGTGCGAAGGTGCGAACGTGTGGAACTCGTAAGCCTGTGTGACGACCGCAAACGGAACCTAAGCTTGTGTGGTCACCCCAACCGTTGAATTCAATAATTATTTTATTTCCTTTTACCAACGTGAGTAAGCCCTTTCGATCTTCTGACATGAATTGAGCACAAAGATAACGTCTCAAAAGTGGGATCTGGATCAACGACCGCCCTAAAGGAAGTATGATGTTCATGTTGCTCGACTAAGCCTCGTTGAAGATGGACAAGGACAAACTTCCGAAGGCGACCAGCTCAGCCGAAGCTGCCGATCAAAGCGATGGACCGTACAAAAGTACGTGAACTTTTGAACGTGACTATGCATGGAGAAAGATCGACTCCTGAATGTACTTATTGAAACTCTCGAAACTTCTCCAGTAGAGTCACCGGGGCATCGAAAAGGTGAAAACTATTGCCCGAAGCCACATGTGATGGCCTCACATTGATGACGACATCGCCAGCAAGGTCAAGTCCTTTGCGACGTGCCATGAACATCAATACCTACGTCGACCAGTGCAGTCAACACCTTGGCCATTTCCAGAAAAACCACGGACAAGACTACACAATGATTTTGGTGGACTTTCCAATGTCTTTATTTCTTAGTCCTCATGAACGCCTACTTCAAGTTGAATGAAGTGATCCCTGCGTCCTCTCCACCTTCGGAAGCAACTATGAATGCCTTAAGGACTATGTTTGCCACGCGAGGAATTCCAGAAGTCGTCCTATCGGACAACGGAACAAATTTACGAGTAACAAGTTCCTGGAGTTCCCCAAAAGGAATCGCATCCCAGGCATCAAGGTACTACCGCACAACCCTGCGTAAAACAGTGCTGCTGAACGTGTCGTTCAGTTCGTAAAAACACAAGTTGAAGAAGGCTGAACCCTGCTACTTTCAGACCAAAATCGCCAAGTTCCTTTTTCGGTACCGGACAACTTTTTTTAACGTGACAGGTCGATCCCCTGCAGAGCTACTGACGGGAAGGGGAACTGAGAATCCTTATAAAAGCGCTGCGTCCGAATTTGGTGGGAATATATCTTAAAACAACTGAAGCAGAAGCTACACCAGGACAAAGGAGCACGTCGCGCTCAATTGTCGAGGCCAGGGTCAAGCGTCATTGTGAAGAATTTTAGCCTGGTCCGTCGTGGTTGCCAGCCACTGTTGTCAGCCCGACAGGTTCACCATCCGTGGAAGTGCCACTGGAGGACGGAACCAACTATTACAGACACGGCCACCATCTCAGACCTGAGGGCAGGCTCCCGCGAGTCACACCTGAGTTACCAGAACTAAATACAAACACTTCGTTTGCTGAACAAGCATCCGCTGATGGAGGAACAGCGGTGCAAGGTAATGATCAGCCAGAGTCTCGAGAATCAACCCCACCGTCGTTGTCTCCCGAAGCACTGGTCGAGAGTTCTATCGTGTCTCGTCTCGGTCCTTTACATTACCTCGTAACAATCATCATCACCCATCATTTGTATCATAATGTAGCCGGCGTTACACGCAGACGGCCAATGACAAGGTTCGATACAGCTGACGACGTTGCGATAAGCCGTGCTGGACTCGAACCCACGTAAGATATCGCTTTATTAATGAACACAGTGTCATGATGGTTCTCGTTGAAGTGCCCCGTAATGCAACTCCTATGGAGTCGTGCCCGTGATCCTGGTGGCCACGAGATCCTCCTTGCTCTCTTCCATAAAGTCCTGCAATCAAACAAAAGTGCACTATAGCCCCTTTTCAAAAGGGAGCGCCATCTAGTAGCGGCCGGGCTAATTATTCGAGTCTGCCATTGCTTGGGCACGTACTCTGAACATGTGTTGGACACCTGCATAGGCGTTCGCCGCGAACTCGGCTCAGGTCGTACTGGAAACGAGTGCTGCGTCAGCGCTCGGCGAGGACTTGGATCCAATCACACGTTTGGTGCCCAAGAAATGGCGATCACCAATGTTGCTCGACTGGGTTTTGAAAGCAATGTATAACGGACGCCTCAAGAAGGCAGGTGATGAAAAGGGCACTTTGAAGAGTTAATCGAGTCAACAAATAAACGCTTCATTTGGCCACATGATGCAAACTATACCTCTCCGGTTATCTTTAGGTTTCAAACGAGATTATAGAATACACCTCTGAGGACATGCGGCATCCTGTCCGTATACGCCGCATGAATACTAACTCATGTTTGTGACGTCACACGAGAGCGTACAGCGCTGACTACATTTCTCGGGGAAAGAAACACTGTCGCCATTTCTCAGAGGAAGACCGACCTTATGCTGTCTAAACACGAACGTGTAATTGGCTCTTTTTTTTTTTTAATTCAGTGCTCCTCGAAGGGATAAATGCCACTGGATAACACTAAAATTCCCAACCAGATTGAGTAGCACCACATTGGCTATAGATGGCGTAAGCCGCCGCCCTACCCAAATGGTTCATCCGCATTCATGCATCAATCCGGTATTTACACGGAGCTCAGGGTGGAGCGAATCAAACAACGCCAAAAGTGTGATGCCGTGGCGCACAGGAGCGTGCACGTGAATGCGGGGTGATCCCGCGCTTTTTTTCCTCTGTGCGTGATTGGGTTAGCCGGCGATAGCAGACGCGTAAAGACAACGAGCGTCGTGACGGTGCACTTGTGGCGCGGTTTGATTCGCTCCATCGGATTGTAGCGCGTTGACTGTGGTCGAACTATACTTCGTTTCACCTTATGTTCGAGCGCGGACGATGTTATGGGCCGAAGGGCCAATCAAACAGCGTAAAAAGCGCAACGTCATGGCGTGTTCTCTGCGCTTGACCATAGTTATTATAATGTACGCTAGAGGTTCAACTGGCGCTAGTGTCTATGCGACTTCCGTGACGCAAATTGAAGCAGACAGCAACCAGTCTACTTTTGCGGTGCTCCTGTGCATTCCTATGGGAAAACGCGCGTGCATTTTGCCTCTTCGCCGAAAAATAACACGGAACACTTTGGTTATTTCGGTCATACCGAATAGTATGTGTCTTAATTAACATTGTAAAAGTGTAATTGCTTTAGTTGACGCATTTTTCTTCCTCATTCAGCAATGTTTAACTCTGCTACATTTCAGTCCCAAATGTGTGTTCCGCAGCAGGTGTGTAAGAACAAGCGACGATTCAAAGCAAAATTACAATCGAAAGGAATGTAGAATGTGTTCAAGGCTCGCCAGCATTCCGGTGACGTTTATATACTGATAATATGCCAGTCCTGTCACTATATAAAAATGCCCCGTCGTGCATGAGCGGATAAAACATTCAAAACGTAGAGAATTAAGTCCGTGGGCTATAAAAGGTGTCTCTTCGTATTGTTTTCTCTGCCGGGCAGCTTTTATCGGGCGCTTGTTCTCAAAGATTTCGAGCGTGCGGGTGATATTTTGAATGTAGAAGCTCGCGCAGAGCAGAAAAAATAAAGCGGTACTTACTTATTTAAAATCAGAATATATTACGTGGTGGCAATTTATTTAGATCGTATATGCACGTGTACTGATCCAGTGTTAGTGCGTAGTTCTTGCCGTCTTTCTTAATTTCCAGATGTTCTTTGTTCGTTTGGCACGTATATCCCCACGCTGAAAAGCACCGACGTCGTGTTCGCGCTAACAGTGTTCGACAGTGCACATTAATACACGTACAAAGCCGGTTTAGCACCGTTTTTAATGCGATGAATTTGAAAGAAAAACACCGTAACTGACCAATTATTTCGTCGGCCTGACTGAGAAATGTTCCAAGCTACCCAGTACGTACGAATTATTCGGGATATTTGCTCTTATGATCGAGCGCAGAGAGAAAATGCACTCACTTTTTCCCATAGAAATGCATTACCGGAAGTCAATTTCAGACTGGTTGCTGTCTGCTTCAATTTGCGTCAGCACACTAGTGGCACTTGAACCTGTAGCGTACATTATAATAACTCTATGCGCTTGACTAGCCGGCGGAGGAGCAGAGCACAGAGAGACGGCGAATACCGGCTGGTTCTATCAACTACAGAGAACACGCCATGACGTTGTGCCTCTTTCGCTGTTTGATTGGCCCTTCGGCTCATGACATCGGCCGCGCTCGGACCTAAGCTGAAACGAAGTATAGCGAGCGTGTAGCCTGTAGACCCAACTCGTACTATGTAGTGCATGTGCATCAACGAGGAAAAAAAAGCCTGCTCACCCTGAGTGCTTCGCTCATGAAGAACGGTCTGCTAAATCCATCGTTCCGCTCGTTGTCCTCGCAGAAACACAGGAACAGCGTGTCTATCGTCATCTGCAGGAAACGGCGACGCGAGCTTTTACGTACTATACATACAATGCCCAGCCATGCGGATAAAAAAAAAACTTTCCTGTTCCCCCCTTTCTCTCTACAATAATGTCCTCGAGGAGCTGTAGGTGTTCTGCGAATAAAATAAATAGATCCGGTACGCCTTTTCAGATGTTGGTAACGCGAGACAAACCCTTCGGTATTCTAATTTATGACTGCACGAAACCCATTGCATGGTATTGTTAATAGAACAGAAACATAAATGCAGAGCTGCCATAACCCACAACTAGATTCAAAACGTACAAAAATAAAAGTAGCAAATCAACTTTTAAGCAGGTTGACCTCTTCATGACTGTAAATAAACAACCATTTTCTAAAATAGAAATCGACTCGAAATAGTTTTAAACGGCCTCTAATACCGCAGTCAGACGGGCTAGTTTAGTGCACTGCAACTTTGGTGCCTGGAATGCGTCTGGGACTGGTGTGTTTAGCGTCTTATTCTGCCCATACATCAAAATGTGGTCCCAAAGTGGCAGCAAATGACGTCACAAAAACCGGAGTGTCATGCTATCGGATGTCGCGATCCTGGCGGTTGGTCGTAGAAATGATGGCGGAAAGCACGAGCGAAGGCGAGTGTCGCTGTCGTACGTGATGGCATCCCAACGTCTGGGTGCTGAAGCTTCCGTGGACTGTCACATCAGAGAGCGGCCTGCAGCAGAACAGGCGTCTGCTACATCCACCACCGGTGATGAAACACCGCCAGGGTCGCGACCGGCGACAGCATGACGATTTTATGACGTCACGAGGCGGAAATGGAGAGACCACTTTTTGGGACGCGGCAAACATACCTTCGGAGACGCGTTCCAGGAACCATGCTTCAACCAAGTGCACTTTAGCTCACCGAATGTCACTTGAAGTATTTCGGTCCCACACGGGATAAATTAGTGTCACTCGGAAATGATGACTATAACGATGATATAACTGTTGGATTCCTAAAATGTTAAAGCAAAGGCATAAATGTCTCAGCAATATTTAGTCTCTTTTAATAAAAACATGTTACGAGACAACGTTACGTTAATTGACAATATTTGCGCCAACTGTATGATTCTGATCGATCGTCACAAGCCAGCAAAAAGAAGAATCAAACTCACTTGAGGCCGACTGCGTTCTTCAGGAAGATTAAGTTGCGTGGCACACTACACAAATGACACTAAAGGTGAGGTGCACTCCGTTGAAGTGCACCAAATTAGCGTGTCTGACTGGGGTGTTAAAAGTCCAGTTTTGATTACTTGAAAAGGTAGTGAAATCGTTCGTATGATTACACCCAGAAAAGCAGTAAACCAGTAAAATACTATAAAAAAATTACGATTTTCTTTTTGGCTTTTTTTTAGATGGAGGAAATACGTTGCTTACCCCAACCCACACCGATCTGCTTTTGTGTGCTTCAATGGGGACGATGTACTTAAAATGTACCCTATTTTGAAAATAAGGCCTATTAAAAAATGAGACGTTTACAAATCCCTGTAATGCGAAATTAGAGCGCAGCTCTTGAGGGGGAGAGGGGGAGGGGAGGGGGGTATGCTTTTCCTTCTTCTATGTACCCTCTCCTCCTCCCCTCATCTCCCCTTTCTCCTTTTCCGTACCATCCCATCCTCCTCCTCCTCCGTACCATCCCATCCTCCTCCTCCTCCTCCATACCCTCCCTCCTCCCACAATTTCCTCGCTAATTGAGCTGGAAAATTGACGCCACGTTACCTCAACACCAATTCAGTTTCCCCGCTATAAATTCAGCAGGAAATTGAAGTGGTGCTGAGGTCACGAGGCGCCAATTTTCCGGCTAACTCTAGTGGAAAAACTGAATTTGTCCGCTAAATCTAGCGGGGAAAGTGAATTTTCCCGCTAAATTTAGCGGAGAATTGTATTGGCGTCGAAGTCACGTGACGTCAATTTTCCTGCTAAATTTTGCGCGGTTACGCCGACGCCGACGCCGATGCCTCGAAACACAGAAACGGGCGTCTAAGATATGCGCCTTAAAAAAACATGTCAATATGCTGAGCGGCTCGTGTCACATGAGCCACCGAAAACTTCAAAGCCACTGTCTTTGTCTAATACGTGATGCCACATCCTCTTCAGTCAGTCATGATCACATTGTATGGTTAGAGCAAAACCAAAACAACCTCAAGGACTGTTATCAGACTGGAGAACGGAACTGACCTCGTACACAGATATGCAGCTGTCGGCCACGTAGTAACTGATGAACCCTCCGGCGAAGAGGGGCACCCACACATTCACAGTCGTCAAGGAATCCTTGAAGAAAAAAAAAAGAACGAAACAATTAAAGTGTATTTTAAATGTCCCAACACAGCGTTCGTTGGATGTCCATCCTATAGGCAACCTGCAATGCTGTTTGGTTTGGCGGCATCTAGCGACTGAAACAAGAAATATTGGGTACCCCTGGGAGTGGCGGCTGCATTGTTCAAACGTGAGCGCTTACTCCGGAGGCGCCGCTTAGCCTAGTGTCTGAAGCAAGAAATACTGGGTATCCCAGGGAGCCGTGATCGCCTAATGTGAGCGGAGGCTACGGCCCTGGCAAGCCAATCGGAACATGACTGCGTATCACCGGAGCGCGCCTCAACTCCGGAGAAGTATCAGGCTTTTCGCTGCATCATGCTCAAATATGTGTGCGTTGCGCTCGTACACGTCGAGAATTTCGAAGCCTTCGGCACGCAATGTGGGGCTTATCGTTCACCCTTTGCCAAGTTACAACGAGACAGGGTATAACCGTGCGCTCTCACGCTGCTGGCGCCGCCTGACCGTTGCCGGTTGGCTATGGGGCTAGACTATTACAAAGCAAAGATGTCACTATCACAGCTGCGCTCTTTTCGGCCCTGTCTCAAGAAGAAATGACGTATGTACGGTTAGCAGGTTGGTCTGCTTCTTGTGCACCCCGTACGTTTGTTTACCCGCCTAACCCCACGTACGTGCTTTTAATTCCCACCGATCTGAGCCAATCATGGCGCGCGCTTGACTGCCTGGTCATCGTGGACGGTAGAGGGCCATGCAGCAAGGTTGCTTACTTTCCAATTTATACTCAGCGCTTATCACTTAGGCTAGAATCGCAAAGTCACTGGGCTGTGAATGCATGCGCAGAGTCGGATGTTCCGCAAAGAAGAGCTACTGCGCATGTTCACAGCGCAGCCCGGTAGACAAAGATGATAGCGCGCAGAGGGAGATTGTTGGAGTGGTCAGAGACTTCCAATCAGTTAACCGGTTATGTTTCTGTGACCACACGTCCCGTTTACAAACATAAGCCATCACCCAAAATACTTCCGGTCGCCCCGTTTCGGCAGGCCTTCCTGAACTTGTTGTTAACAGATTTCCTGGGACCATCAAGTTCTACAGAAATCACGGAGTTGGGGCTTTAGCGAGGTCCTTCTGCTGCCCTATTCAACATACAAGAGGGAATCGACCGTCTCAGGGGAGTATTCAAAAATCGCCAACAAGTATCTCACTAACCGGTCCTTAATTAGCTAACCACCTGGAGAACTGGTCATAAAAATATAGCGTACGCTAAAGACATTTAAGTCTGCTTACGAGTAGGAATGCGAAAGCATCCCTACACGCAGCGCATTCCTACAAGCAGCGAGCCACGTCTTCCTTTTTCACACGGCGCTCCGGCAGTGATATAACGCTCCCCCCACTGCGCACGCGCAGCGAACCCCGCCGGTTCCACGGCTTCTGTGACGATACATCTGCGTTGCTCTGCTTTTCCTGGTGTTTTATTTCTGAGGCGCGTCCGCTTTGACCTTGAGCGCCCCGCCGGCTTCCGTGACGAAGCGTCTGCGCTACTGAGCTTTTCGCCAATGGGAATTTAACTGCCGTTTCGCTGCTACAGACAGTTACAGATAACGACGGCCACGTTCCCTGGGACAGTTAATGCTTTCGCATTAAAATATTTCATGAACGTTACAAGAAGCAGTGCTGTGGTGGGGATTGTGTGCCCTCTGATTTGACCGGAAACTCGCGGGGACGTCAATTCCAACAGCACCCTTCCGACGCTTTTAAACAAAAAGGGACTGCGTGACACATTTAGTGCAAAGACGACTTTGGAGCTATTTTCTATTTTATCTGGAAAGTTTGCTGGCGAGCATTTAAAGTTACCACATAGGTTAATTCCCCAGCTGAGCATTTACCACCACTATAGTAGTTTTGATAAAAGGTTATTGGATACTGCGAGAAAAAGAAAGGAAACCGGTGAAGGCCTGTTCGCGCCAACAATGTCGCGCTAACAGCGTCCTCACTGTGATGGTCCACACTCCACAGAAGACAGCCGGCACGGCAACTGCCAGCTTGGTGAGGAAGAGCAGAAAGTCGGCGACGCTGTCGATGGCGGACAGCTGAGCCCGGTGCCTCGCCAGCAGCCTCTGGGCCCTCCTAGCACTCGTCCTGAAGCTGAGGCCATGGACAGCTGTCGAAAAAAAAATAAAGGTTGCTACAGTCGGTGAAAGCCTACAGCCACGCGGTCGCGCTACTCGTATACGTCACACCAAAGACGCGGCACTGCTCGCTGCAGACAACGACGACGACAGAACTCTTGGGACATGCCTCAAGTATATGTTCGAAGCATATTCTTGCTTCATACATGTGCAGCCTCCGAACATGTCTTCAGACAGTTTTCGTTTGTCCGATGTGACGTCCTACAAGAAAGGCTTCAGACACTGTCTGCAGACATTCGTCTTTATGATGGATCAGCAGTGTGACCGCGGCTCTAGTAGATCATACGAAAGGCAGCTTGCAGACACTGTCTAGGCCTTCCTTGTATGATGTCACATCGGTAATATAAAACTCTGCAGATACGTTAGAAGTATACACATGAGGCAACCATGTCTCGAAGGTCCTTCAGACCTCTCCGCAGATAATTTTGTCATCATATGTCTACGGCAAACACCGTTCCTTTTGTGTCATGCATTCGAGCAGGGGCGGGGGGGGGGGGGGGGGGGGGGGCAGCAGCTTAAGAAGTGCCGGGCGTGGCCTGCTATGATCTCGCTCCCTGCTGCGGTATTTCTTCGACGGTTGATGTCGAAGAAATCCTATTACCCGAGAAATTATAGTAAGATGGACGTACGGAACTTGCTTTCGAGGATTTTGAAGGGAATACGCATTATCAAGTGAGAGGTTGAGTGTGAAACTATGGTTTATGCGGTTTCCCTGGTTGGGGTGCGTTGCCTTTTCAAGTCCGCTAAATTCTGAAAGAGAATTTGTTTGTTTGTTCTTACCCATGACAATAAATGCGTTCTTGCTGATGTACATCGGGAAATAGTCCAAACATCGGCAGCACATGGTCCAGCATGTCTCCAACCGCAAGCATGACCTCACCTTCGGGGCCACGCTAGATAAAATCACACAAAAAAAAAATTAGTGCGTATGCAGCCACGTTTTGCGTTATCTTCTTTTGGGGGGGTTTAAGGGTGTCCTGTTTACGACTCAGAATATCACGTATCAGGAAAAAAAAAAAAAAATAAACATTATGCCTTAACTCCGTCTGCCACAAAAACAAACCAATATTTTTCTCAGAGGACATGGTAGCAATGTGCGTGCGCATTGCCAACATGGCACTCTTTCGAAGTGCGAAGCGTCTCCGCGGGCTTCGTACATAGTCAGCGCTGCAAACTTGTCGTGACGTTACAAACAAATACTTCTGCGGAAAGAATCACACCAGCAATTTAGTTGTTTTCAGCAATCCGTCTCGTAAATAATATGAGCGTGAAGAGCTCTTCAAGCTCTGACCTATCAATCTTTAAATATGTACACTCTGGTCCAAACTAAAGTCACTGGTCAAGACTAGTGTAATGTCAAACTAAAATCACTGGTCAGTCTAGTCCAAAGTCAAACTAAGGTCACTGGTCCAGACTCTAGTCCAAACACAAACTGGCCACTGGTCAGTCTAGTTCAAAGCAAAAGAAAGTGACTGGTCCAGACTCTAGCTCAAAGTCAAACTGAAGTCACTGGTCCAGACCCTAGTTCAAATTAAAACTAAAGTCACTGGTCAGTCTAGTCGAAAGTCAAACTAATGTCACTGGTTTAGACTCTATTCTAAAGTCAAACCAAAGTCCCTGGTCCGTCTAGTCCAAAGTCAAACCAAAGGCACTGGTCAAGACTCTAGTCCACATTCAAAATAAAGTCCCTGGTCCCAGACCTTACTCGAAAGTCAAACAAATATTACTGGTCAGTCTAGTCCAAAGTCAAACTAGAGTTACATGACCCGACTAGTTTAAAGTCAAATCAAAGTTACTGGTTCAGACTCTAGTTTGAAGCCAAACTAAACTTGCTGCAGGTCCAGAATCCAGTTTAAAGTCAAACTAAAGTCACTGGTCCAGGCTCAATCCCAAAGTCAAACTAAAGTCACTGGTCCAGACTCTAGTCCAAAGTAAAACTAAATCGCTGGTCCAGGCTCTACTCCAAAGCCAAACTAAATTAAGTCAATCGTTCAGACTCTAGTCCAAAATAAAACTAAAGTCCCTGGTTTGTCTAGTCCAAAGTTCAACTGAAGTCACTGGTCCAGGCTCTAGACCAAAGCCAAACTAAAGTCACTGGTCCAGACTCGTCCAAATTCAAAGTAAAGTCAATGGTCCAAACTTTAGTCCAAAGTCATACTAAAGTCTTCCATGCAGACTTTATATACAAATCGAAGGGTAATAACAATTGTGGCGACCGCAGTCTTAAACATAATTTGAATCGAGTGTTGTCCCGCATATTGCATGTTACGAGTACGCCTTACGACATAATTAGCAATTATCAATTATCAAGTTTTTCTCTTTTTTTTTTCGTAATTAATTCGCAGTTAGAATTATCGGTGATGTGGAAAGAGCTCAGTTGCTGCACCCATTTGAGCGGTAAAGTTTGATTCTCCTCAACGCCTTGTCTGAGTAATTATAGCCACCGGATCAGGCGAAAGTAGCCAAGCTTCCATTATGGTCAACATTTTAGTCCCCGGAATGAGCGTTTCTCCTTGACCTCTCCATTCTAATTTGACAGCGGATTCAAATTCCCAATGATGGGTTGCCTTATAAAGACATTTCTTGTATACCGAAAAGTGGTTACCCACCCACCGGCGAAACAAGCGCACCTCGTCGTACCGTTACCACTTGTGGCGTCGGTGCCTGGCTGCATTGAAAAATAATTTCCTTGCCTTTAAATACGCGAGAAGGATAATGTATTTGTAGATATCTGTGGAGTTAAGCATGACTGATAAGTTAATTGTAAACACACTGCCTAAGACGCGTCTATCGGCGAGGAACACTTTCAGTACCATGACGCTCCAAAGCAATCTTGACGAGAGATAGATCAGCCAATCGCCTTGCAATATTTTGGTCGTCTTTAGGTTTGCAGGCTGTTTGTGTCCGGCTAGTGCGCAGGGAATGCAATGGCCCTACTTCCCTGGATCTAGTGACTTTATGAGTAAGATGCGAAGATGTCTTGTTCGCGCTGTGTCACGCTGGGAACATACCTAGTCAGCAAAGATCCTTAGGCGTGCTTCTTGGTTTTGAAATCTTATTTTGCATTTTAAAACTTGGCCCTTGTAGGGCCCGCGAAAATTTCCATGGCCGACGGTATCGCATGTCGTCTTCGCGAAGTACTGGGAAAAGTTTTCAATTATACTCGTTTTCATCTCAAGAACCGTAATAAAAAAAAAAGAAAAAAAAAGTACGGTTTTTTACGAAGGATGTACACGTTTCAAACGCCAAAAGCATCGCTTGGTTCTCCGACGACCAAATAGATTAAGAACTACTTCGCGCGGCGTATGAACAATGCGCGAAACTTCCTTTTCTCTTAACGCGAAAACGAGTATAGCAAGTTCGTCTGCTTCTTTTGCACGGGTTGTTGCGACGTCAGAACGCCGAGCTCAGAATGGCTCTGAACGAAGGATAGTGGGTAGTCCTCAAGGCGGCTTGCTTTGAGGTCTAGCCACTATCCTTCGATCAGAGCCAATCAGAGCACGGCGTGGTTCTGACGTCAGCACAACTCCTGCGCAAAAGGCAGACGAACTTGCGCTCCGCATTGTCACCCCCTTTGTTCAGATACATTTATTTTAATACAGAATTGATACAGTGGGTACGCAGATCAGTAGTGGTCTAAGAAACGTTCAGTTCAAAAGGTCATTGACTGAACACGACCAACTAAAAACAGTACGACATGGAGGATGAATAGACTAAAGCAGTATGCGCAAATACGGCTTCAAATGAATTTCTGACGTTTATAGCTTATAAAAGAGGGGTTAGTTTCTTCTCCCCAGGCAGTGACAGACCCAGAAAAAAAAAAAAAAAAAGAATAACGAACAGCGTTTGCCCCCTCAACAAGCAGCCAGAACAGCCCAGTTACGAAACTGCCCATAGGCGCTGCTTGCACGGCCAGCACCCCCCTCTCCCTCCACGGCTCACCTACCGTCGTTCGACGCGCCACCGCTTCTGGGGAAAGGCTGCTATGATAACTGCAGTGTATTCTATGGAATACGCGTGTTTCGAAGCACGTAGTCTAGATGGCGTTTCGCCGTACTCTATGGAACACATAGTTCTGAAAATAAAATATAGATGGCGCTTCAAGAAACGGTAAGCAGACTGGAGAGAGTGGGGGAGGGGGGAGAGAGAGGGGGTGTACCCCCTTCCACGGGGGCTCCACAACTGAGGTAATCTAATAACGTTGGCTAGAACAAGTGGTCACTTGATCTGTAGCCGATTATAGCCTTCATTAAAGAGTTTGAGAATCCCTAACGTTTTGGGACCTCGAGCATGCAGCTTGGGGAGCGCATCGAACTGCACAAGCGCAGAAGTTCGGCGCACGCGAGTGTGCAGCCTTAAACTGCTTGGGGGACCCGGAGAAATTGAGGCTCCCTATTCTAAAATTCCCTAATGCTTATCACAGCCATGCGATGGAGTTGGCAAAGTACAGAACACGCGCTAAGTTCCAGACATTCTTAGGGTTCGGCTGTCATCGGCATTGCAGCGAACGCTTGTCGAGTCATTGATTACCCCGAGCCCAAATCGAGTGCTCACGCAATGTTAAGGTCCAATCTACGAGCCGCATTCAAATATCCTCACTCTAGGGACTATGCCAACACTGCGGTCTCTACGTCATCAAGTTAGGCGAAGGAGATAATGAAAAGAAAACACTCGCATTTGTCTTTCAAGTTAGATCGCAACAAAGAGGCGCATTGGTCAGTGGCATTGCGTGCGAGTATACTTGGGTCCCATTAGTACCAGTAAGCTCCCGTAATGTGAAGAACATTCCAACTGAACATCGTTGCATCAACCCTGTAAACGCAAACGGAGTATAGTTGTCCACTAATAAAATAAATAAATAAAAACTTCTGAAAAGGTTCAAAGCAATTTGGCAAAGGCAGTGGCTCACGCAAGATGGGCGCCAGTGACGAGGGCCCTGATTGGTTCCACAATAGCCAGCAGCAGTGATCCATAGGTCACGGAGCCCATGTGGTATGCGACGAGAAACTCCGCACTTTCCAGCACGGGAGAGCTCATCTGGGTCTTGTGCCTGTCCAGGAAGAACACAAAAATAACACTACGTCAGTAAAAGTCGAAGGCATGAATCGTGCCTAAAATGGGAATACAATTTCCGTGTGGACAACGCGATCATCCAAGGACTTTCCAGAGCCAACAGAAATGCAAACACAAATATAGCGAATTTTATACGAAGCCAACGCTGCTGGTCTGGACGCCAGCTCAAGCTCTTTCGGTCCGCAGGATGATGCGCCAAGCGGCGCCAATTTGTGGTCAGACTTGTAGTCAAGCAAGATGAGAATTTACCCAATCCCAGGCCATTTTTCAAGATTCGCTGAAGAGATGTACCTTGTGACATGTCATTCAAAAGCAGGACAATGTGGCAGGTTATGCTCCCTTTACTGCAGTATATCTACATACGAAGGCTACGAATATCGGGTCATGAACTCGTATTGTTGACAACAAACAAAAACTATAAAGACACCGAAGTCTTATGCTTAACAATCAAGCGGGTACAAACTTATCACGGCTCACCTTTCCATTAGAAATTAAACACATTGTATAACTGTTATCTGTAAAAATACTTTTAGGAATATGTTAGGAACGCGGGTACAGGTGATATTCGCCGCGGCCATAGCTCATTTCGCATCTGCTGAGCACGCGCTTACATTAAGCGCGCTTATGTGGTTTGTTCTGAGCATGCACTTTTAATAAATCATTCACATGTGATGTCCAGCGAATACTGCCTATAGATATCTAAACACCTGCAGCGAAGAGAAAGATGTTCCACGAAGGACAGGGTATGAAGAAGGTGAGTTAACTGTCTGTAAGAGCATGATTCTAGAAGCATGTTTATAAAGCGGCCAGGGGACAGTTAATTATAACGAGTTTATATTCATGTTTAATGGCTTGAACTTTGAACAAAGGTAAAAGCCTCGTTGGAGGTTCGACTAGCGCTCAGTGACATACATTGAATTTGTAAAAAAAAAAAAGTGCATACCTCGTAAAGTACCAGCTGGACACTGAGGCCGCGACGACGAAGTTCTGGCAGTTCAACACGATTTGGACGAGCCACAGAAAAAATATCAAGTAGAACGGAGCCATCGTCTTCACAGAAGGAAAAACAAACAGGAATTGACAAGGTTAGTACCTCTAAGATCAGGTTTCTTTCGTCTCCATGTTACAAGCATACAGATGTATCAAGCAAACAAGCTTCGAAGATGTGTCTTTTGAATGACGCATGAGCAGTATGAGCGCAGTTTTAGAGAGGCTTCCGAAAAGGACACTCAACTGTCATAATTTGAACGTGCTCCCAAGGAGTACAGTTTAGACGAGAAACGTACGGCTCGGCCAGACCGCTGGACGTGGCTGAATGCAACGCCGCCACGTCACAGCGTCGGTGACGGTTTCTATGGGTCCGGCGCGCCAGCTGTGCGCCGTGTGACGTTACTGCTCCTCGCGCATGCGCAGCACGGAGCACGGCTCATTATGCGAGACACGCGAAACTGCTCAACCTCGGCCAGTGTAGCTCACGCTACAAAAAGGAACTTACTAAAGAGTTGCTACCTCGCAATACGGAAGGAAAGCAAATCAAGTACCACTCTGTTCGGAGGTTTCGGCTGACCTACCAGGAAGAAGTCGTCGGGCTTGAACATGACGCTGTCATTGTGCTCGTCGCTGATGTAACAATGGGCCACGGAAAGGATGCTCACTAGGCCCAGAAGCCACAGGCTCGAGATGAGGGTCACTGTCAGAGCCGTCTGGAACACCGAGGAGCGGAAGAAATGTTAGAGGATGCATTTCGGCGCACCATGATTAAGCCCCAGTTACACACACTGCTCATACGTCATACAAATGACACGGTCTTTACTGCAGACATCATGACAGAAGTATCAGCGGACATTTCCTCATATATTCGAAGCACACGTTTGCTTCATACGTGTGTATGCACACTTCGAACATGTCTGCGGAGTCTTTGTACGACCAGTGTGACAGCATCATCATACAAGCAAGACGCATGACCCGGACAGTGTCATGCAGACGGTATTTCGTACGACGTAACTGCTGTTTTAGAAGTAGGACGAAGTTTCGTCTAACCTATCCAGTTGAAGAATTCCCATTAAGTTCCAATTGGAATTTTCCGTTGATACCAATTGGGTTTTTGGACAACCAATTGGTCACTGCCAATGGGAACCAACGGAAATCAATAGGAACCATTTGGAACCCATTCAGGTTATAAATGAAAAAAAAATATGTCGTATTGGTTAAACCCATTGGCCAGTCTGCTTCCCGTTGGAAACCACTAAAACCAATTGGTTCCAGTTAAAATCAGTTGGAATGACAATTGGACTGAATTGGAATTCTTAGCCGGTTCGGCGTTCAGTTCAGCGAACCCTGAACTTTTGGCAAAATTCGACGAAATTCGACTTATTGAAGGGTGACCAGCCGACTTCAACATAAACGTTTAAAATTCACCGGAAAAAAAAAATATTTGAACTCTAGTTTCTCATACATTGTAGGGAATAAAGACCACTGGTTGCACACTATTTCATTTTTTTTTTATTTCAGACGTCTTTATTTAGAAGCCATAGAAGTGAGCACCATACATTGGTGCCCTCTTTGGTCATATTCACAATATAAAAAGCAAAACATGTAGCGTGTGAATAATTCACAATGTAACAACAACCGTGTGTTTTTTTTTTCAAATTACCTAGGTTTCTAATGGAAACAATTTATCCTATAACTAACTTCAACCTTCCTTCGCCAGGCGGCGCCAGCTCGTTTTCAATTTCTACGCATGCGCACAATACTCGAGCTGCACGTTGAAAGTTCGAGCAAGTCGAACATGGTCGAACTCGATCCTCGGCATGCTCGCGGCACCCCTCACCACCATCATCATCATCATTTATTTTCCTTGAGAACTCGCAAGGGCTATTATATACAAGGGAGTAGGCATACATATATTTTCATACATGCAGGAGTTTCCGAGAAAAGAGGACCGTAAGAAAAACATTTTCTATTTCTTGCTGACAAGAATTGTTCACTTACATATGTCACACATGCGCCCACATTGTCATTTTTTGTTTTGAAGATAGGCCTGGACGTCGGCTTATAGGGAAATGTCGTTTTCTCGGTTATCTTTCGATCCAGGTAGCGTCACATGTTCCCAATCATTCACGTTGTATCCGAACCGTTGGCGTCAAGTTCTCACAGAATTTGAGCTTTCTGCGATGCATAGTTTACTTACCCAAGCCAAAAAACACGGTCGTCTTTTCTCGGGAACTCCCGGTATATTGATATTAAAATATTAGTATACCCTGATATTATATACGAAAAAGCAAAACATTCTTAACTTCGTATTGACTATTTCCTTCCAAGAAGCTAGTCTAGTCGAATACGTCTACACGTATACTCACAATGAAAGGTTGAATAAAAAGAACCGGCATGTCTCCGAGAGCCCTGCCAGCTTCAGTAAAAAGAGTTGTGACCTGCGCCAGCAAATGAACCGCACATCAAATTCAGCTCGTACCCAGAGCTTGAGAAAACGCGCTTAGGCTGAAAATGGTAAGTGCTCTCACCAACTGCACTCGCTTGGAAATGGAGATAATGAGTATTATAAGAATAACCTGAAAACAGGCAGGAGATAATATTAATGAAAAACAGCGATTATCGGCCATACGCGTTTTTTTTAATTAAACAAAAATAGTACATGACTGTCTTAAAGTTCTCCCGGTAATATTGCTTTAGTATAGGCTTATCGAAATGAAATGTGAGAGCGTAAAGAAAAAGAGAGAATATATCAAACTAAATATATGGCACAACAATTGTGGTTCGTTATTATGCCTCGCACAAGACTTGCTTTTAACGTTAAGCTGGATCTACTTATTTATTTTTTAAAAATTAGACGTGCTAAGAAAATATTAAAAAAATAGACTTCTTTTTTAGTGCGTTTTAACTAATCTTTTCAGTGCGTTTTTTAACTAAATTTTAAAAAAATTCTTCGATTGTTTTTTTTTTTAAAGAAACTCTCAAGACAGAAATTGAACTTTTTTTTTTGTTTGTTCAGAACGTATTCTTCAGCACGTCATTCGTCATTTCATATATTTCTGGCTAGCAAATACCGCTTATTTACCCACACATTTCTCTCGCGAGCTATAACGATATTCCAGGCTTGCTTACCGTCAGAGTCGTCACTATGGTGAGGGCGACAATCCACCAAACCTTGTAAAGTTCGAATGATGCAATCTTGACCTCTTTTTCGTCCGTGATGTAACTCCAGACGCTCCGATTCCATTTGAGCCTGTACACGTACATAAGGCTCATCTTCATCGCACAAACCGCTTGGCTCATTTTGAGATATTCAAAATGACGTAAGAATTACACATAGGACAGGACACGGACACTGACGTAGCACAGATGTGCTCTCCGTGTTCTGTCCTCCCGCGTGTAACTCTATCGTGAGTTCTTACACCTATACAAACGCGCTCATCTCCAAATATATATTAAAAGACATTGCATACTTTTTTGTTTACATATGAACCTGGGGCGTCATGCTGGCAATGAATGGGGTCTCGCTCTGTCAGACTCTAATTGGTGACAGGGCTAGAACGGCAGGGAGGTCTTTCAGTAACGCTTCAGCGTGTCGTAAGCTTGGAGCTTGCATGCGCAGTCTAGGCGCGGCAACGAGCGATGTCCCCGAAAAGACTCCGTGCCGTTCTCATCCATTTATTCATTTTAAATAGCCCGATCTCACTAAGCGTTCCACGCATGCGTGACGCCACCGTAAGTGTAGTTCACAGGGGACAGGCGCCCGTGGACGAGATGGTTCGTGCCGTCTCGTGCTCGGCTCCAGTGATGTTGTCACGAGTGCGGAAAGACTGTCAGTTCCCATGATTCAAGCCGGCAGCAGCAGCGTAACGAAACTAGCTCGTCAGATCGGTTTATTGACTCTAAGTCTGCAGTGCTAACGCGCCAGCAGACCGGAGTAACTTTCTTTTTTTTCCTTCTAGCCGCCTTAACTGAAATATTGTCAGAATTACATTCAAATTTGCAAAGTGTGTGTGTGTGTGTGTGTGTGTGGGGGGGGGGGGGGGGGGGGGGGGGGGGGACAGCTACGACTCGCAGCGAAACTGAAACAATTTTGCTGCGATTCAAGAAACTGAATGGGTGATAGATCATGTGACAATTTTCCCGCTAAATTTAGCCTAGAAGCTCAACTTGTCTGCAGGTCTCGTGACGTCAGATCACGCGAAATCAGATTTCCCCCCCTAAATTTATAGAAAAAATTGAGCTGGGGAATAGGTCACGTGACACCCATTTCCCCGCTAAATTCAGAGGGAAATGCACGGACCGACGGACGGACAAAATTTTAGGATTGGGATGGTTTCGTCGAAAAAGCATTCTATGCTTTAAAAAGGACGCCTAAATCGCTGCTTTCGCTGCGCTGATTGCCGACGAAATGCGTTAACATTTAGCTCAAGGGTTCCGACTCGGCGGAGAACGGGAATTCCAACCTCGCAACGGTCCACCTGCTGTTGTCTTCGAAGAGCCGCCCTGTTCTTCAGGGCGTCGGCAGTTTCGCACGTAGCCGCCACAGCTTCCTTCGAACGCCGCCTCGAAGACAACCAAAGGCGGATCCAAGGGAGGGGGGGGGGGGCGACGGGGCGGCCACCCCCCCCAAACAAAAGTCGACCCCCCCTCCCCCCCCTTCTCGGAGGGCAATTGGACATCGGCAGAACCCCCCCCCCCCCGTACACAGAAAGAATGGGAGAATAGTATCGTTACGAATTTTCCCGCCCCCCCGCCCCCCCCCCCCGCCCCCCCCCCCCCCCGCCCCCCTTTCAAACGGAGTTCTGGATCCACCCCTGAAGACAACAGCATATGCTGTTGTCTTCGAAGAGCCAATTTTTCCTCCCGGGTGTCGGCGGTTTCGCGCAAACGGCGTCGGCGCTGCGACTGTCGGTTTTACGTGGTCGCGTGTGTTGCGCGACCGTCGCGGCAACACCTTCCTGATAACAAAGCCGTTGTGCTGAATGAGACGGCGTCATCAGCGAGGGCCAACGCTGGTCACGGACTGGACACGACGATTGCGTCAACGGATCGGCTCAAACTTGATTCGAAGCCGAGCGCGGACGCAGCACTCGTTTCCAATCTGTGTCTAGCGTTGACCATTGCTGGTGACGCAACAATGTCAGCACTACGGCCTTCTCTTCTAGGCGGTGTTGGCCACGGCCGCTCGATCCCCTCCTCTCCCACTCCGCGGCGCGTCATTAGAAGCGTGCCAGAAGGATCAGTGAACGTAACGAGCGAACGAACGGCCTAACGAAACCAGTCCAGTCCAAACCCCGACCGTCCAAACGAAAGACGGCCGCATACACCAGGGCGATATGCTAATGCGTTTAACAATCACCTTCTACGCTCCGCCATGTTTGTCGTGTACAGCCAAGTGACTTGGCATTATTTTTTTGCCGGGTTGATAAGCTCTTGCAATGTGTTGGGAGGAAAATAATAATGGAAGGGTCGCCGACCTTTGCAGCTGAATGTTAACAAAATGGCGTTCAGGGTGACGTCATCAACGAAGATGACAAAAGAGGCGTCGTCAAAGGGACGTCAATTATTGAGGTCACCGGCCCACGTGACTCTGGTCTCACCAAAGAGCGATGGTGATCGCAAGGCTGCCTGCCGCTGCGATGCCCATGATGATCCAGACGAAGACGGCAGCGAGGAACCTCAGGCACAGCATCCACAAGATCGTATGACCTGGGCATTAAAAAAAAAAATCGACAAAGACACTTAAAACTGCTTACGTGTAGGAGTGCGAAAGCATTCCTACACGCAGCGCATTGCTACAAGCAGCGCATTCCTACAGGCAGCTTTGTGTTTTATTTCTGAGGCGCGTCCGCTTTGACCTTGAGCGCCCCGCCGGCTTCCGTGACGAAGCATCCGCGTTGCTGTGCTTTTGGCCAATGGAAATTCAGCTGCCGTTTCGCTCAGTCAATGGGAATTTAGGTGCCGTTTTTCGTTGCTACAGAAACCGGCTACAGACAACGCCGGCTTCGCTCCATGCGACAGTTAATGCTTTCGCGTGGAAACATCTTTGCCTGCGAACGTGTCGCATCGATGTTTTCGCAGCGGTTTTGGATCAGCTTTCTTTCCTCGTACGAGTTTGTATAAAGGTGATTTTCTTCTTTCTGCCACGTAGAAAACTGACGAAAACTCTTAAACTCACCGATTCCTATCAACACGACAAAGGCGATTTCTCGCAGTCGCCATATAATGTCACTTGCCACTATCTGAAAAAAAAAAAATGTATTGCAATTGGTTGGAAGCTGACCAGCTGAAAGTCTATCACCACAAAAAAAAAAAAAGAAATTGGTTTATAGAGGACATTAACAAGCAACTGACTTTGTAGCACTACGACGCACGCCCTACTTCCTGTTGCGTCGTCCCCCATTGGAAAGGGAACAAGATAGACGTTAAAACGCAGGTGTAAATTAAGAAAGTGTATTTCCGACATCAGTTATGACGTCATAAGTCGAATCCATCGTCTGACGTGCATCCCTATTCAAATAAAAATGAAAAAAAAAAAAAAAAACCGGTCAGGTCGGTGGTGTTGCTCGGACGTGTGAAAGCCGCACCGCTACAGACTACAATCACTGTCAGTTAAAAAAAGAAAAGAAAAAATAAACCCGGGGCGCACCTGGTTATTTCTAATATTTTTTTTATTATTTCTAGAGCCAATGAGTACTAGTAAATTCCAGCGCGTTGTCATAATGGATACTTAAAGGGGCGATGCAACGAGTTTTGTATTTTGCGGAAATACCGCTTAGAGCGGGTCCCTGACGTTAATGACCTGTGAAATACCCATTCGTTTTTCACCATACGCAATCGAAGTCGCAGGAAAAAATAAAGAAAAACAAGCAGAGGCCACCCCCTCAACTCGCAGCCAGAACGAGCTGCCTCGTGATCTGGAGCCGATTATATGCCGCCAATGTGGATCATAGCCATGCGCTGGGGTTGCCAAGGCACAGGACACGCGCTGCGTTCCAGACATTGTTATGGTTCGGCTGTTGTCGTATTTCCAGCGATTGGACGCAGGACACTACCCGAATGCTTCTCGAGCTATAGATTATCACGAGCCCAAATCTAGTGCTGACGAAATGCTCGGGCCCAATATATGAGCCGCATTCAAATATCGTCACTGGGCGGTATTGCTACCGCCCAGCTACGTCATCAGGTTTTGCGAAGGAGAAATTGAATGAAAACGCTCGGTCTTGTCTTTGAAATTACAGTGCAACAAGGGGTTTCTTGGCCAGTGCCGTTGCGTGCTAGTATTCTTGAGTCGCACTCGAGCCAGTAAGCTCGTGTAAAGTGAAAAAAAACATTCCAAATGAATATTGTTGCACCGCCCCTTTAAAAACGAAAGAATAAAAACATAAAAGACGCACACGGACGACCCCAGTCTTTCAAATAGCAAACGTCGTTGCTATTTGAAAGAGTGTGGTCGTCCGTGTACGTCTTTTACGTTTTTTTCATTCTCTGATTTTTAAGCAGCCAATGAGATTGTGGCGTTGATACAAGCGCCGAAGCGCGAACCAATCACAGAGTAAGAACTGTGAACATGGTAAGCCACACCCTACGTTTAGACGGACTATACGGAGAGCGAGTCGTCTGCTTATTGCGCAGAAGTGGCGGTGACGTCAGAACGACGCCGAGCTGTGATTGGCTTTGGCTGGAAGGATAGTAGGTAGACCTCAATGCTAGATGTCTCGAAATCTACCCAGTGTTTTTTTGTTTTTTATCAGCTAATAAAGAACTCGGCGTTCTCACATCATCGCAACCCCCGTGCAAGAAGCAGACAAACTTGCCCACTGTATAATCCAAGGTATTTGGAGGGTCTACTTTCCCACTAAGCACACCCAGTCTCGTCATTCGCCGAGGTCCCTCCGCATATTGCAGCGATTGGCTTTCCCCATACTGCTTTGTGTGAACGCAGTTGCTCCACATTTCCTAAAGTGTATATTTCATGGAAATCCGTACTCGTACAACCCCTTCCGAAGACGTGAGTTAAGGGCAACGTTACTAAAACACTCAGTTGGGAAACTCGCCGTCGAAACCTGGGCCACTGGAGTCCACCGAGACCGAGCTAAATGCGACAACAGCGCCACTCTTTATCGTTTGTCTGTACTGTAATCACCTTGAGCTTTTTGAAAGCCTGTTTTTGCGTAAAAACAAACGGAAAAGACTTTTTTTGTATGAAATTTATTGGAGTTTAGTACCAAATGATGGGCGCGTGATGTTTTTTTCATCTTTAGTTCGCAAGGTTTTGCGGAACAATTAATACTGTTTTTCTACAACCATGCCTCAGCGGGCTTTTCAGGTAACGCGTCCCGACCTAGGTGCATTTTAACTTCGGTAGTTCGACGCGGCGCGTCCGCCGGGGAGACGGGGGTTCACCCCTGTCAAAGCCAAAAATAGATGTCACGTGCAGTTTTTCGAGTGGCCGCTGCGGGAGAAATGGTGGCGTTGTGTTCGTCATTAGCTCGATGCTCGGAGACAGATTGGGGCCATATTTTTAGGGCTGTCTCTATGGGAGTTTCCCAACTGAGTGTTTTAGTAACGTTGGTTCAGGGTTACCTCGATCTCGCTGTTTCGTAGCAGGTGGTGCGGGACGCCAGGCCTCGTTGAATCGCACACGCGAAAGCTTCCGGTACGCTTCCTGAAACAGCCAAGCGAACAGTCGAAGATGATATCGCCGAAGCTCCTGGCACTATGTATACGGCACGCGAATACTCACATCGGTCCTACAGTGCACTTATCAACGCATTCCCACGTCGTACGCTGTTTCGAGGCGTCTAGCTTCTCTTCGACCATCCTGTCGTATTGATCGAGCGGGGAGAAAAACAAACACAAACATGAAGGCCGTTAAGTTCGCTCGAAATATTAATGGGCGAAGCGCCGAGAATCGAGTACGCAGGGTTTATACGTGGCTTGCACGTTACGTCTTCGCGTCCACCTGGAAGTCAAGGTACGCGCAGTCAGCAGCAATGCCCCCACAATGGCCACTGCTGTGACGTCAGTGAAATCCACGTACATTTCCATAATAGAAAAAAAGCCTAAGGTTCTGCAAGCCTCGTACTGGCATCAGATGTTTCGCTAGCGGACATAATTAGATTCTTCGAGGCAAGCATAAAGAAGAGGAAAAAACAAACATTCTGCATGCATTGTGTGAGGAGTGTTTTTTTACGAAGGTCCTAGTCGCTCCCGCAGATAATTCCATCAAGCCTGCCTGCAGCGAATACTGTGTCTTTCGTATGATGTATGCAGAGACGTCCGAACTATTTTGAAGATGGGGGGGGGGGGGGGGGGGAAGCCGATCGCCCCCCTCTTTGCTGTTCCGACGCCACTGGACGTATGAGGAGTGTCACTGCAGCTTAGTTGACCATGAAGAAGCGAAATCATTTGTAGAACTGTCGGCCGGTGGTCTGGTGTGCTTTCATGTTCTTGCTTTTAAATGTAATTGTGTACCAGCGTTAACTACAGTATTCACGATTTACTTGCAGCACGCGTGTACTACAATGACGTATACAACCAAACCGTGCCAGCAGAGAAAGAGAGCGAGGCTCTAAAAGTAGGCTTTCTCACAGCTTTCCGCGCATGTCCTGTCCCGAGAGTGGGACGCCGAAGAGCTTCTTGTGCCTGTTGTCCAGGCCACACAGGTTGCCGTGACTGTCCATGCGGTGCGTCAAGCGAGCGTAGTCCCGGCGGGACGCGGCCGCGATGGCCACGCACACCTGGAAGATGTCACATGATTCGGGTTGGCCAAAGTGCATATAATATTCGACACAAACATTTTTCATTTTAATTGCAAGAGGACAGTCGTATCCTAAAAACGAAAACTGTTGGCGTAAAGAGCATGTGTTCCTGCGAACAAATCGTAGGATGTCCCATCTTCTGCTGTGAGCCCTGCGAAGATCCTCAAGACCAAGAAAAAAGAAACACAGCTTGATTTATTACTCATTGCTAATTGGTTGATTAGCCGACAATTCTTTATTGGTCTATGAAGTTTCTCCAGTGGCAGTAATTCCAGTGGTCGATAGTTTATTTGTCTTCGGTTTTATAAACAACACAGCAAAATTTATATTTAAATATTTAAAGAAAACGCAACGAGACACGATAGACAAAGACACAGCGTTAATTTACAACTGAACTTCACTTCCGTGATCATCTAATATATATAACCGGTGTCAAAAAAAAAAAAAAAGTCAAAGAAGAAGCACACACACAGTTAAAAGGCTCAAATATTGGTTGTGCCACCATATTCACTGTCTGTAACATACTAAACACACACAAAAAAAAAACAAAGGTACAAGAGTGCGCGGGAGATATTTGAGGCCCGAGAAATTGGCAGATTGGGAATCCAGTGTGTCAGCGCTCCCTCTGTGTCATTGACAGATAAAGAACTGCGGTTTCTCGACCGGGAGAGAGCAGCTGCAGTGTCGCTGTCGGTGAGAGACAAAACAATATTTGAGCCTTCTAATGGTGTGTATCTGTGTTTCTTTATCCGCTTGCTTCTTGTTGGCATCGGCTATATATACTATAGGTGACTACAGAAATAAAGTTCAGCTGTAAGCTAGCGCTGTGTCTCTGTCTGTCTTGCTCGTCCGTGTCTCCGTTGCGCTTTTTAAATATATTATGAATCACCAACTAGCTCAACTTTCCAGCCTTAGATTTAAAGTGAGCGTGATAAACGAGTGTGTATAAGCACTCAGAGCACGAAATTAGGTGGACGTGTCATTATTTGTAAGGGCCTCCATCACCTCGCTATTGGTTCCTCATTCTTCTTACGGGATTAAGTCAAGAAATCTCACAGCCATAATGAGATTAAAAGCGCTGGCCACGCCGTTACAGATTTATCTTGTCAGGAATCACACATGCACCCGACATCTTAAGAAAGATTCGACTACAAGTCATGTTGCTACGAACATGATAACATTGTTATTGAATGATTTCCGAGGGGGTCGCTGAACATAAATAGTTACATATACAAGGCCAGGCATTCGCATTCGCCGATTCGCTCTTCCCCTCTTGGCCAAGCCAGAACTGTCCCCGCCCTATCGCTTTGTGAATATCATATCTTCGCGTATACCCACGGGCAATTAAGGCCTTCAAACATTACCGCATGTTCCGACGATCACTTTCAAACATTGCCTCTCTGAATAACATGTTTTCGTGCTCGCATCACGAGTTCGATTAAGTCGGATTCCACGAAACGATATTTGGCCATGATAAAGATACCCATCTTCTTCGCTGTCCGGCGACTGTCCTCCCGCTCAGTTGGGGAATTAAGGATCTCCGACTGTAATCAATACCATTTAGAATACAAAAAGGCCCGCTCCTGTGCCCCCTAATACGTCATCACTAGTGCATCCACGCAGCCGCGGGTATGCGGAGCGCCAGTTCGTCTGCTTCTTTTGCAAGGGTTGTGTCGGAACGCGCCGAGCTCTCATTGTCTCTGATTGAAGGATAGAGGGTAGACCTCAAAGCAAGCTGCCTTGAGGTCTACCCACTATCATTCAACCAGGTTTTAGTTGAAGGATAGTGGGTCCTGTTTGAAGGATAGGTCCTGGTTAAAGTATAGAGCTCGGCGTTCTGACGTCACCACAACCCCTGCAGAGCTTGCGTCAGCGTCGCCGCCAGCCCGTCTTTCAGCGTCTCAAAACGAGTGCCAGGCTAGCGAACGGCGACGCCAAGACTGACGCGTCTGCCACTTTGCGGCAGCTCTCGTCGGGCTTCAGCGTGTTTGCCACTTGTGGGAACGGTCGGGGATCCACTAAGGATGACGTCAAGCGCAGGCCTTGTCTTCTAGGTGGTATTGCCATAATGCACGACGATAAGGAGTCCAAACAGTCAGATTGACCTCACGAGGCATCGATTATACTTGGAAAAGTAGGATTCCGGAGCAGCGGTGGAACGACCTAGAACTGGACGGCATGCGCACGCCATGAAATCAAACAACGAAGATGGTCCCCCCTTTGTCTATGTCAACAAACGGGCTTGGAAATGGCCATCGATCGCAATCTTTTTTTTCCGCACGAACGACATGGGCGTATGTCACGACTTGCATCGGGACAAAAGCGCACCGATTTAGGAAAAGTACACACACAATATAGCCGCACGCCATGCGCCGCATTAAGGTATTCATAGTAAACGGTAGTTGTCTCGGTACGTCGGTTGCGTTCGGTGGAACTAAACCGACAGAAACCGGTACACCGCTCTGCGAGTCACAAAAACTACTTCGTTGCGTGCTCTGCAAAAAAAAAAAAAAAAAAAAAAAAAAAAAAAAAGACGTGCGTCAATTTACTAATGCATAACAAAAAAGACAGTCTGGAGCAACACTGTCTGAGGCGTGTTTCTTGCACGCGGAACGGATGTTCCTCTAATTCTTTTGCAGAGGTTGTGGTAACGTCAGGACGACGTAACTCTGTTTGGTTCTGAATGAAGGATAGCGGGTAGACCTGAAGACAGCTTGCCTTGAGGTCTACCCACTATCCTTCGATCAGAGCCAATCAGGGCTCTGCGTCTTTCTGATGTCACCGCAACTCCTGTGCAATAAGCAGACGACGTTCTCTCCGCATATGACGGTCCCGTCAAATTGGTCATGCAAAAACTGTCTGTAGGCATTTTCGAAGCATGCATATATGAAGCAAACATGTTTGAGGCAGATAATTTTCTCATAATTTCTGCCGGAAACACCGTGTAATTTGTATGTTAGACCCTATTTCAAAAGCGCGTCGCTGACACCTCCTCGATAAGAAATACCTTTAAGCCGGGGTTACACTGCTCGTACCCATCACACAAAAGACAGTCTGCAAAACACGAGTCACTGCAATACTATCGTTTTTCGAATGCCGCGTGTCAAGTTTTCTCCTTGAAACTCGTTGCCATGTGGCATTCCAAGCACGGATCTCGCGATCACTCGCGTTGGAATCTGCATGCAGACTGTCGTTTGTACGATGAGTAGGCATTCTGGGACCCCGGCTTTATGGCTGAATTTTCCTGCGTCACTAAAGAATCTAGGTCGCAGCATACGACCTAGATTGGACACGGATGCGGCGTCGGCGTTCAGCTGAAACTCGCGTTCAGTCAGCATGACCACAGGTCTAAGCTGAACGCGCAGTAGAGTCCAAATCTATACCATCTATGGTGATGCCTAGTGACTCAGGAAAATTCAGCATCTAGGCTTTCTCGTCCAAGAGATGTTGCCGCTGCACCAACCATTCGAGTCCTCCATTGCTCAGGCACGCGCTCTAAGCACGTGTTAACGCGATAGCGTTAAGGAGCTCGTATCGCAGAGAATCCGATGTCGGTGGCGTGACGGGAAATTCCTGATTGGTCGATAGGGTCGTGACGTCACAGCCACATAACCTCGCGCGGGAAGTTCAAACAACCTACAACGCTCACGAGAAACCTGATGTAACGTTTGGAATGAAAGTGACTAAAAAAACGTAACATGTAATCCGAACTAAAGGTCGCCGCATGTCTCAAATGATTTCACTTTTAAAAATAATTCACTTTCCTTAAAAGAAAATTTTAAGAATTTTAGGCGGGATTCGAACCTCCAACCCGCGACCCATACGTCAACTCAGTTTCTCCCGCTAAATTTAGCGGGAAATTGACGTCACGCGACCTATACGCCGATTCAGTTACCCCCTAAATTTAGCGGGAAAGTGCACGTCCTGTGATCCAGACACCGATCCCAGTTTCCCCGCTAAATTTAGCGGTGAAAATCGGTGTCACGCGACAACCATTCAATTTCTCTACTAAATTTAGCGGGAAAATAAACGTGAAGTGACACACCAATTCCATTCCTAGTTTCTTCACCAATTCCTTATATTGCATTGAATGCATAATAGGACTTTAGGGTAAAAAGTCGCTGCCAATTTATGGCTAATGTGACAGGACTGTAATACAAGGGAGGAAGAAAGGCGCCCCAGACTGTGTCTACAGACTGTCCTTTGTGAGATGTATCAAGAGCGTGATTGCGGCTCAAGGTGTAGGCGATTCTTTGGTGCTGACTAACGGCGCTTCCATCTTCGGTTTTTTTTTTTTTTTTTTTTTTTTTTTAATTTATATATTTGCGTATGTATTTTTGCTTCAGTATCCACGCAACTTATGCGTCCCAGGATGCTTACCATGTAGACAGCGAAGACGCTGAAGACCATCAGAATGAAGACGTCCTTGCATTCTCGTGTCTTCACCGGGCCGCTGAAGTCTACGTCATCGGCGAGCTGGGGAAGCGACTGAAACGGTTTTCCCCACAAAAATACACGCAAATCATTTTGAGTTTTTTTTTTTTTTTTCGCGTGATTCGATGAAACCATGGTTTCCCAGACACTGACAAAGAATGGCAGATCGCCACGAGAAGCGGCCGCCGTGTTGGAAAAGGTGGAGCGGCAGAGAACGGATGAGAGGAGAGCCACGTGACTGACGCCCTGCTGCGGCGAGACGCCGAAACACATTTCTCCCGAGTGAACAAGTGTGTTTCGGGTCCTCGTCACTGCGAAAGCTGTGCGCTGACGTCCAGGTTCCCCGAGAAATGTCTATTTGATGCTCTGTGCTACCAGATCCTCGCGCTCCAAATCTGCGACCGGGCAATCTATGGCTCCGTCATCGAACTGCCAGGCTTTGTGAGTATAGAGGAGGCTATGCTCAAACATCTTTTTCAGAGGCCCTCTTATCTGCCCAGTCAGATGACATCAACGAGATTGGGGAGATCAAATTTGGGATTAATATTTAGCTACGATTGCTTGCGACCGAGCTCTTGCGATCTTTTTACGAGAGAACACGCTAGCACACTAGCGCCATCTATGAGGAGGCCCTGGAATTGCATTTCACCAGAACGAAGGTTTAGCGGTATCTGCAAGATAAAAATGTAGGCACTGTCTATAAGAAATGGTCTTTTGTAAAGTTGGCAAAAGGTTTTCGAAAAAAAAAAGAAGAATGATGCAAAAAATAAAAAAAGATATACGGAAACGTGTTGCGTCATGGATACCTGTAGATGGCGCCGCTGCGTTTTCTAGTCGTACGAAATCCCAAGAAGTTTTAGGGCGCATGGTCGTGAGCAGTTGCGAGTTGAGTGATCTATAGCCTTTACTATATTTTTGAACGAAGTGGGCAACACAAGACATGTCCGTGCAATTCTCAATATTAATTATTGATATGATTAAATGTTGTACTCGGAAGTAATTTTATTTATTCCAGCGGCGCACACAGAAAGTTACTTGCGGGGCTTACCGCTGTAGATGCAACTCGGCTCGAAGGTGCTCCACAACACTCCATGTTGTTTATGGGACGGTTTATTCGCCAGAACTCACAACATCTGCAAAGTTGGGTCATTAACATTCCCTTCCTTCGGAGCGGGCACCAAAGACGCTTTATGGACAACAGGCTTTGTTTCTGATGTCCATCAGAAGTTTGCATAGCTCACACTCTAAGAATAAACAAAAATAGAAAGTGGAGTAGCTAATTGAAAGAGTATATTCATTTAGCGCAGACTGAAGCAAACAAACAGAGGAAAATCTAATGAATTTTAAAGTTGCCGAACTATAAGGTACGTATTTAGACTCTAGTGTACACATTCACACCAGTTTTAAAAGTATAAATTTGTTTTAAATAAAAAAGCTATACAAGACTGCTTCTCTTAATTATATACACAAGATGTATACGCTTGTTCCGCTGAAGAACGATCACCTTTTCTGGAATCAAAAAGTGAGATGAAGTCTTGACATTCCTCGCTAGGGCTCGACTCTTTTTATTAACGACGTGCTTGGCCAAAAGCGCCGCTGCGATCGGAATTCGCGATTGGCGAAATGCTAACTTTCGCGTCTTTATTTGGATTAGTTTTTCATTCATCGCGGATATCAGCGCTGTGTAAAAGTGTTAACTGCGACGATGTTGGTTTAAGCCTCGATCTCCAAGCTTCCACTGTTATGTTGACACACACCCTCGAACTGTAGTTCACAACTGATGATAAGAAGTCAAGATTACAACTCACGACTCCGCGTCAGGGGAAATTCTGATCGTGACGTCACGAACGCGAACCGTAAGAGGGCGCCATCAAAACATTTCGGCGCTAATACAACCCCACCTGTCGCTAAAAAAAAAATCCCCCCTCAAAAATCCTCGACATCATCAGACGCGCGCAATCGCTCGCTCAACAATGTCATCATCGCCCGCGTATCAAAAGCAGGCGCAGTCGTGCAACCCCAAACACCATGGCGAACAGGGACAGGTCGGTCGAGAGAGACAGATATTGAGTTTCAGATAAGCACCTGCAATCGATTCTAGGTCTGAAGTCCATAGACCCGCCGCCACGCACACATACCTGCCAAGCCGCCAGCTCCTCCCGTAAACTGCCGTCAGACTTCCGACTGCCGGTGAATGTCTGAGCGCTGTCTGCAGAGTACCGCTTCACTCGCGCATTAAAAATGCCAAACGTAGGGTCCGGCACAGTTTCCCCCGGCGTAGCTTTAAACCCGCGTCTGCCCTTTCCCGAATCGTCCGTCGCCAACCTATCGTGGTCATTGTCAACAAGGCCACTCGCAGTCACGCACCGCTGTTCTCTGTGGGGAGGAGGGAGTTTGTGCGTGCTTGCATCGATTACTGCAATTTTGAGGAACACGAGCGGTCTTGCCTCGTTATTCGCCGTTCATTATTCACTTCGAGCTACGCGGACAACACGACTGACGTTTCAAAATTCTACTATTTATTGTTGCTCCTAATTTTTCCTCCTTCAACCTAAAAGCCTAGTTTTAACGCTTAGATAATTGATTTAAAAAGTAAGTACAAACTAAGGTTAACTTCACCTCCTGCTTTTTACGACATGTACCATCACCACTACAGTCTTTTTATTATTATTGTTGTTGTTATGTTTTTGTGAGAGTTGGCAACCCCGCACGTCGCTTCATGCAACGCGTCTATGGATTACTTGGGCATGTCTGCCATTTCATAGCAGGCACCCATGTCTTGCACAAATAGTAGGTGCGTGGATGATACGTTTCTTCTTTTTTTCTTCTTTTTTTACAATAGATTATTTTTTATAGATTCCCGATTTATGGTTTTCCTCAATAGGCAACAATGAAACTCATATCTGTCTGTCAGATCCAATCTACTGATCCGTGATTTAATACGAATTCTTCACCACCGTGAACAAACAAAATGGCGGTCTTGTGGTGGTGTTCGTCCAACGGGTTAGTGAGTCTGTTTCTTGTCTCCGTGGTCAGCACTGAAAAAGCAAAAAATAAAAACTATTCATATCCTTTTATAGTTATTTTGGTGAGTCTTATCATTATTTAATTGTATATATAATGTGTTGTGTATCTTTGCACACGAGCCAGTCGCATTTGATAGCGACTAAACTAGTCTAGGATAGAACTGGGATAAAGTAAAATAGAACTGGAAACAGCACTAATTCAGACAAAAAACATGGAAAGAAGGAAATTGGCAAGTGCTATACATAACAGCATCTCCAGTTCTATTCTCCATGTTTTCCCGTATGAGCTGCACTGTGTCATAGCATGGTGCGAAATATGTCACTACCGTGCACCATGCGAGCATTGTTGACATATTTTGGTCCCATTTGATATCCTTGAACATTTGGATATTTTACCACTCACACTTCTGGAGGCCGCAGCAACACTTTTTGCTTTTAATTTTAACTTCTGGTGTTTTCTTGAGGGTAAATTTCAGCCCTCTTATTTCTAGTATGGGCATAGAGATCGCCATTCAGCACTGTTTACGCTCACTAACCACCAGAAAACTACTACGAGGCCATCCCAATTTTCCACACTATAACCTTGACAACATTTTAATTACTCCGTCATCTGTCACAGCTTCAGTTTACTCCTTTTTTTTCATTGTTATAAATTATCCACACAGATACATTGTGTACTATCTTTTACACTTTCTACTGCACTAACCAACAGTTTTAACTTGGTATCTTTGGTGCAGTAGCCATCGAATGTGTTGCTTGTATTTCTTAAGTAAATCTGTTTTTCTGTATGATCATCCCCAAGTGTAGTGTATGGGTACTTTAATGGTAAGTAAATAAATGTAAAGGAACTTGTGAAGTTGTGTGCACTGATTACAACCAATAATACACCGAGGAGTTTTCTTTTGATGAATATGTTTTATACAGTTGATCATGCTGATCATCTAAGTTTATCCTATTGATTTCAGAGAACTGTGAAATTCTCATGACCCAATGGAAGGGCAGCGTGCAGAAGTAGTGGGAGTATTCTGTATTTGGGGGTGAAGGGGTAGGGGCCCTGCAAGCAGCAATAAACATTGCCCCCAGGTTAGAAAAGACTGTGCATTAGTATTTAGTTGTTTTTTTCTGTAGATACCGGAGAAAAAACTCCTTTGGCAAAGTGTGAAGCTGAATGCAACACATCTCTTTTTTTGACATGCATGTTCAGTTGCTGTAGCAATTCACTGCAGTCTGGCGTCTGTTTATTTTTTTTTTTTTAGTTATGTACCTTAAGGACCTGTGTCTGCTTATTACTAAAGGAAGGGTGCAAATACATTTTCAAAAGATTCTAAAAACATGACAAAAACTGTAAGGAAGAAAGACCCTACAGCCATACGGTTGAGAAAATGACAAAATCACACTTATTACATTTTAAGTATATTACTAGGATTAATAAAGACAGTGAGCATTTCTTGACATTTAGCGCGGTGGTATAGTTTCTGTAACGATAGTAATTGGCGAGATATTTCATTCCACAATTGCCAGGGTAGTGTTGAATTTGGTAAAGAGAGAGAGATGAAGGATGAATGAATTTGGTTTTGCACACATCGTCAACTCTAACGAAAACTTGTTTCACGGTGTTGAGAAGGGCCGCTTTCATCTGCGGGTTGTGATAATACATCTTATGAAGAAGCAGTAGTGTGAAAGCTTACGTCTCAAAAGAAATGTTGTATAAAAGTGGTGTTCAAAATAGTAAAAAAAAAAAAAAAAAAACATACGTTAAAGGCCGACTTACAGAATCACCTCCTGCCGAGCAGAAAACTGCTTCCATTTTCCTTCTCTCCGTTCCCCCTCACACTCTTCTCCCCTCCCCACAGAAGCGAATCCCTGGGCTACTCAATGCAGAAAAAAGGAGAGCCTCCCTCTTTCTCGAATGGGAAGGAGAAATTGAGGGAGACTTTCCTCTTTTCTGCTTGTTGGTCCGCCTTTAATGCTGTTTTGGATGCACTCCATTTCATTGGTGAGATAACTTTCAAATGGTGACCGTATTGATGATGCATATTCAATTTGTGATCTTATCGGGGTTGTGTAGGCTATCATCTTTATTTCTGGTGAAGCGAGTTTGAAATTACGTCTTAGATACCTAAGTGTGCAATTTCTTTAATGCGACTGTTCTAATGCGAGGTCGCTGGTGAGGTGAAGTCCTAGACACTTATATTATGTGCAGTGATCAATGCTAATGTTACAGAGGTGGTAAGGGAAACCAGAGGGAGGTGGTACTCTGTGTGAATGTTAGTAACTTTCCTTTTTTATGTTGAGGCTCATCTGCAAGTCATCACTCCACTTTTGGTTATGTTCGGGTTGTTTTGTTGTACTACATAATCTGGTAGTATTTTTGATAGATCTGTAAATGATGCAGTCATCTGCAAAGAGATACACAGGGGATGATAGTAATTTTGTTAATTCATTTATGTATGCTAAAGTAATAATGGTCATAGGGTAATACAGTTCTCTGAGTACAAGGTAGACCAGTAGGGCCAGCTAAATCACCAGCTTGACCAGCCAAACTATAAGCTTGACGAACTAAATTACCAGCTTGACCAGCTTGGCCAGCCTAATTTCCAGTAAGACCAGCAATATTTTGTTGCTGGTTATTTTATTGGGGGCATCATCATCAGCCGCGAACCCTGCAAGTTCATTCAGCCACGCGAATGAGATCACTCTTGCGTGGTTCATACCACCTCCCCTGGATAGCTCAGACGGCAAAGCACATGGCTCACAATTTAAATCCTGCCGGGGGACTAAAGTCTTCTCATTGCCGTTAAGCTTTTCGATGTCGGTTTTTGGTTACAACCGCCCCCTACAGCCGGCTGTTACAGCCGGCTGTACAGCCAAACGAGAACTCCATGGAAATCGGCCTATAAAACACATTCTGTGTTAAATAATAATAATATTAATAATAATAAAGCGTGGGGGAAGTTACGGTACTCAACCCCGCAGCCACAAAAAGAAAAGCAAAATCGCACCGTGTAAATCATGCTTCCAGGGGTAAGTATAGGTTATACGTTCAAAGACCTAGGAAGGAGCCAAGAAGCTTCACTGCAGTATTTGAATGCATAGGGTGAAGCCTTCCGCTCCAAATGTGCGTTGCTCAGAAGTGTTGGGCTTCTCCACACTACGATACACAATGCAGTGAAG